ATCGAAGAAACCTGGGGAAAAAAGCCGCGTGAGGGAGAGAGAGTGTTGACACAGAACCCTGGAAATTCGACTGATTTTATCACCTTTCTGGTAGCTTAAACGGAGTTGATGCAAGAAACTACATTTTCGTTAGCGTGCAAAATAGAATTGATCTCGTCACCAAACAAAAACTTGGAGATCCCGGTGCATTTCTTCGATTACGTGTCACCCCACACTTCTTCTCTCGTCCTTCGTTCCGCTTCATAAATTCACCGCGGGACCAACTCCTTATTGTGAAATAAAATCTCGCTCGCACAAAAGCGCGGATAAATGGAGCGGGGAAGTTGAACTTGGGTGAAATACCTTTACGAGTTTCCAATGAAATTTTACGAATTTACTTTCCTACGTGGACGAAGGTTAAACAGAATATCAAACGGAAAAAGGTTTCCGATAAGAATAATCAGATTTGAAAAAACGGTGCGAAATCGCAACGTCAAATTGGCGTCGTTCGCACATGTTTAAGTAAGAGAAACCACGAAATGGCTTTATCCGCGGCGAATGTGTTAAATCCTCGGTGCTTTCCATTCTTTTTTTTTTCCCCCAGCTAGAGCGACTACAGTTGGAAAAAAAAATCAGTTCACAGTGTAACAAAACGGGGCAAAACGAAACGTTGAAACGGCGAAACCCCGAACAAACACAATTCACGAAAAAGTGGCGGGAGGGGAAAAAAATCCGCGTTCAAACACGGAACAAATTTAATTGCGTCAAGGAGCCAATCTAAAAATTTCACGGCTCACGGATTGCGTCAATTATACAAAACCGTGGGGGGAATTAAATTAAGGAGGAACGTTCCTCCTGGCTCGAAGGAAGATTTAATTCTATCCACCGGAGAAAAGTCTTATCTCGATGCAGGATAACGTTGCCCGTGTTTCGAAGGTAAGCCGTCTCCGGCTTTATCCCGCCTCGACGAGTTCGGGTGTGAACTGTTACCATTCTATTACATTTTTTTCCATCGTCCAAGCCTGTGGATCCAGATAAAACTCTCCCTTCTTCTCTCTTACAACACTGCATCTCACTTCTTCCTCCTGATTTTCGTCGCGATCGAGCCCGCAACGAGACGGAGGATCGTTTCTTCAATTTTGTCAGAGAGTCTTTGGACTCTCGACCGAGGAAAAAGGGGGATGAGCCAAGATTTAATCAACCTTACCACTCCCTCTATCGTTCGTATAAATTTTCTAATGGACAGGCGAAATCTCTTCCTCCTCTCTTTCTCTCCTTTTTTCCTCTCTCGTTCCTTTCTTTGCTTCTCTCTTTCTTTCTCTCTCTCACTCCTTTCTTTGTTGCTCTCTTTCTTTGCTTCCCTCTTTCTCTCTCTCACTCCTGTGCTTTACTCTTTTTTTCTCTATCTCTCACTCCTCTTTGCTTCTCTCTTTCTTCCCTTCTCCGTCTTCGTCGAGGATTTTTCGCGACGCATGTAAAATCGCCCATTTCCGATGAACGATCGTATCTCTTCTCGCGAAATTTTCTGTTTTATGAAACATTCGTCCAGATGAAACAGAGAGGACGAGGGGTCGGGGGATTACCGGCTCGATTTTACATCGAACAAATTTATTTGCCGCTGCCGCACAGTAGCGAGGGCTCCAGGTTTCGCGACGATAATTTCGCGCGTCGAAATGAATTTTGGAAAATGTTTGCGTTTGCTCTGGCCGTTCTCAACGGGCGAATGTAACGCGACAGAATGGAACAGATTGCGTTCGGCCGAGCCACCACCGACGGGATTAAAATTTCTTTCGGCACGTGCGTTTGAATATTTGTTGCTACTTTGAAAATTTAACGCGCATTAAACGCCCGCGCGAAATGCAACGACCAAACGTCGGTGGTTTATCTCGTGATCTGCCAGAATGGTTTACGGAATATTTCAAAATTTCTACGCGAGTATTTTTCTTTGCTGTTAATAAACAAACGGAATTTCTTTGAGAATAATTAACTAAGCGAGAGGACGTTTCTGTAAGAATTTAATATTGTAAAATGTAAATCATAACAAGAATTAATAATTAATATACAACAATGAAGTAGTATAGTACTCAACAAATACGTAAATAAATATATAATTTTTAAGTCACATGGCACTATAAAGGGTTAAGTTTAACTTTTCATTTTAACCTTATTCAATTTCATGTTGCATTTCTATACTTTGAACAATTGTCTCCAAGCTTCGCCCTGAGTATTATAAAGTGCACAGCTTTCTATTAGTTAAATCTTATAATATTTTAAATATCTTGAAATACCTAACGACCTAACTAATGACCAAGAAAGTAACAAATGTATTAATAAAAATGTATCTTGTCATTAGACTTAATTTTACATTAATTCAATAAAAACATTATATAACACTGTAAAACTGGATTCGTGTCGTCGTTAAATAAACACACACACAATTCCCTCGTGGTCAGAGAACATCGAACAAGATGTCACCGTCTGTTTGCGAGTAGCAGAATAATGACATCGAGAGACGACAGGGAAGTCCGAAGGAATGTTTATGAAGTGTATAAAACCGGTGGATGTGGCCGTGCTATGCATAGCACGATGCACACAGCAGGAAGAGTTATGAGGTTACATTTTCATTTCGTCGACAAATTTGGTCCTAAATCGGAGCTGCCAGCTCACTGCTGGCATGAATCCTTTAGCGAGCTCCTAAACTCCTCTTCATTATCGTCAGAATAAAGGAAAAAAACGTGATACAACGAATATTATTTTTAACAGTAGCGTTCTGTGCTCTCGGTTTATTTTAGAGTAATACTTTCAATCAACTGAAATAGATTTTACTCAATCTAGATGGTGAATTCTATTTTCATTTTTTTTTTTTCGATAGATTTGGTAATTGCGAAAAAACGAACAGAAGAAACTGAAATAATTCCTAAATTTATGCAACTGTGTCAACAAGTTTATTAAAATTTTTCTTTCAAAAAAATAAAGAATCTCGCTGAAAATAACCCCTGGAACAGATAAATTGTTCAAATTAATAATTACCAGTCTCCGAAACTCGATACAGATTCGTTTTCTCTATCGAATTTCAAGGGAATTTCCTCTCGAGTTCAGAATTCCTTTTTCTTTAAAATTTCAATTAGAGCATTAATTACCTAGGTAATTAATATTGAAAATCGAAGCCGTGACTCGAGATTGAGAGGCAATAATATTAGGCTCACGTACGTGGATCCCCTGGGCAAAGAAACTACTATTCGATTAAGGGTTTACGGTTTCGTTTTATAAAGAGAACATCAACTCGTATGAAATTAAATTTTTAAATCAATTTTCGAAGATGAGTAACAATTTGGATAATATAAAATTGAAGTTTGAAAGAGCTTTTGAAATTATGTTTCATTCTGTCGAATCTTCAGTCGAATCTCAAGAAGATTTCCGTGATCTAGACAAAAAGAAAAGATGACGTGTCAAATGTCGAGCAGAAAGAGTTACTTCTTATTCTTCTCCATTAGAGAAAGCTTCCTGAACGGGCCATGGCGCACACTGAGACATTATGCATTCATGGAGATTACGCGCATTTTGGGCACGTCCCGCGTGGGAAATTGGACCGAGATTGTCCTTATCGACATAAATCACACGACTGATAACGCTGAATTTTCTGTTAGCATAGTAGGTAGGTCGCAGCCAAAATATTCGATCAGAGAACCTTCCGCTCGAGAAACGCATTGCTGATTCAAATCGAACTTCTCTCTCTTGTCAAACGTAAAATTCTGTGACATAATTTCCAAGAAAATTCCAATTTTTTTCCCTTACTTGTATTCCGTTTCATTTCTCAAGTTTCTACAGTTTCAATCTCGTTGCAAAATACTAAGTAAGATATTACGATCTCATGTGATCCAATGAAGAAAAGAAAGAGAGCTGTATGAAACAGAATATTTTACCCTTAAAGAAACCTCGTTAAACAGCGCCAAAACAGCGGGAGCTTCATTAAAAGCGACGACGAAGAAGAAGAAGAAGAGGATTCTCAACAAAGGATACTTTGGCGAAAAGAAGGTAAAGTTTCGATGATAATGATCATTTCGCGTGCTTTTGATAGCGAGTGGACCTGAACCTCTTTGTTGCTGAAAAACGGAGAAAAGAGAGTTGAAGAAATAGTGCAGGGCGTGTCCTAATGAAACTGAAAATGAAAAAAGCGGTGAAACTTTTAATCTCACCTCTGTTATCTTCACATGAATCCTAAATAGCCTAAGAGCTTCGAAACTAAACAATCTGTCAATTTGAAAGAGTTATTAAACCGGGAATAATTTTCTCAGAAATAATTCAGGTTCGTACAGTTAGTTACTCGATATCCGTTTCCTCTATGTGTATCTCAGTATTCGATTGATTCGATCAATAATGCAATATACATATAATCGTTCCGCTGATGATACAGCGGTGTTAACTAATACTGACGTACCACTGTAAACAGTATTAATTTAATATCAGCGGCGATGCAACCGTTCGAAGATAGACTCGAAGGGGCATTTGCGTCAATAGCGTTGATTACGAAGAGAGTATATCTTATCAAAGCGAATGTAACGAACGGAAACACGAAATCAACGGACGAGCGATAAAACTGATAGAAAGTATGTTTTGCTCGAAACGACACTTCCGTGATAAATAAAAAAAATTACAGTTGCAAATTATCAGAAATATTCTTTTTCCTTTCTTTTTTCGTTGTTAAAGTGTAAACCATTAAATATTGATACATTATAAGTGTTAGTATAGAATACCTTCGGTAAGATAAATATAACAAATTCCACACACAAGATTATTCATAGTTGAAAATAATTCTTATCACACTAATCACACGATAATTATTTACATTTCTTGTCGTTCATTCATTCGTTTCTAACATACTGACATAAGTAATACCAAAAATCGTAAACCAAGGTTCTTCAGAAACCACTGTGCATACAGAAGTACTCTAAACACTTGTAAAGATGTTCTTCACAAGCTGAATTCTTGTATGGTGGTCAGGATGTCTTGCTTACTCCCATCTAAGACTCCGACATACCGTCAAACGTCGTTTCTAATTCCAACAGAGTCATATTCTTAGTATTCGGTACCGCCGATATCAAGAAGGCAGTGACAGTCAACGTCGCAACGCCGTACATCACAAAAGTTCCAGGCAGTGTCAGTAGAAAGATTATCTCCGGCGTGACTATCATCTCTGCGTAGGAAAAAAAGAAGAAGAAGGCGGTCGCGAAACCAACACCAAAACTTCTCAATTTTCTGGACAACTCACCACAGAGAATCCATGACAGAGGTACCAGACCTATTGGCTCAAATATGAAGTACAATATAAAACAAATGGCGGATATCCATGGTTTATAGATACCGAAGAAAACTGATAGACCCAAGAGGCAAAGAGTAGAGGTGGTACCAAGTCCAGAGATCAGAAGCATATACTGACGATCAATTGAATCCGAATTACGACTGTGAAATATGCTCCAAATTCATCTTTTATATTTGGAGAGTTGAAGAAATTCATGGCGTTGATTGCAGAAAAACGATAGATGAAAACACACACACAGTATTGTAAGAGGCCACAGGAAGTGTTTCAATAAAGTTTCCTCCGACGAAAAAACCATGGAACAATTGTTGCATTTATCTTCTTTAGTTTGTGCGCGTACCATAGAGTAATACTCGTTCAAAGCTTTTTTTCCACGCAGATGCACCCAACAGTCCCGTGCTTCGTCCGTTTTTCCCTTGTCTATCAACCAAACGGGACTTTCTCGAGTGAAGAGACAGATTATACAGTTGATCGTCGAAAAACAGGTGCAGATAAAGATGATGGTTTTCGAGCGTAGCAAATCATCCATTTCTATGATCACCCAGTTTCCAAGTAACATTGCTACGTTTGTCATACCCAATAAAGAGGTTCGAAACACTGGATCTGAAATTTCACCGATATAAACTGGCACCACTGAGACTGTCAGTCCATTAGCCAGACCACAGATTGCATTGCCAATCAAGAGACACCAAATATGATTCGTAAGTCCAATCGTCAGCCATCCAACTAAGGATATAACCGAGGAAATTATTAAAAACGTTCTTCTGCCCAGCTCTTCCATCAGGCATCCTGACAAACAACATGCTGGAATCGCCAGAATAACTGTGAAAGTTTGTAGCCGAATAATTTCCACCGAACCGGATAGGAAACTTGTCAATATTGGTTCGTTCCCCACGAATAGAAAGCGTAATTGACCCAGAATTCAAGCCAAATGATACACCGACCATGAACACTGACAGCAACGAGCTTAACGCTGATAATTGTTGTTTGGCGCAAAGTTTCCAATTAGATTCGTAAGGTTCGCTGTTGTTCATCTCCATTCTTGAAGATTGATCCATACTCGGTGAACAGTTACACTTCGTCGACTTTCAAGTATATTTTTTAGTTATTATTTGATTTAAAAAAGTGTAAGAGTTTGTTAATGTTGGGATTAATTGATGGATTTAATGCTTCTTATCAATCTCATTGCACTAGAATTTCTTTTATACGACTGTCACACGCGCAACGTGTTGGATGTAAATGAAACTCCGACCATAGTACAGCAAACTTATTTTTAAAGGATTCCCCACCAATTGATGCTACCTCCCTTGTGGTATAAATAAGTACTTATAATCAGTTTGATACGTAAATAGGTCACGAGGAAGAGATTATTTTTCGCTGCAGTTAGACATTGTCTTCTTCAATATTGTATTAAAAAAGCATACAATACGATGCAGATGCGTACTGCAACAAAAAATTCACTACAATGAAACGAGACACAAAGTTGTAAGAAAGTTAAATGCAACAGATGAAGTTTGATTTTAAAACGAAGAAAATCTCAAATGTGGAGGCAGATAAGCACATGCGCACATCTCTGTTATCATCCTGTGTCACTGAAGTACCAATCTATAGCAAAATCCATTTGCACCGTGATAATTCTATCTCGAAAGATAACAAGCTTACATCAGACCTTCAACCTTAAATCAGAGATCAGAAATTTGCACTGTAAATTTTATATCCGACGTTAAAACATATTCCCCAATTATCATTGTTGGCAAAGTACTGTAAGATCGTCAAACAAAACCGGAACATTATCCTAACCCATATTCCTCTCCGAAGTAATTTCTCAAATTCCACTTCCAATTCCGTTCAAGCATCCTACAGTCCTTCCTCTGTGGACGTATCGGTCATCGCGTTCCACGCTAATTTCCTTCGAAAATACCAAAAGTAGCTTCGAAACGCTCTAAAAGGACGAGACGCGGTACGTGAAAGGAAGAGGAGACTGGGCTCGATCAATTTGATCCCCCGGCATCGTTTTCGAGGTTCAGAAGCCGCTTAAAATTCCCCGGTCCGCAATCGAGGGGGCCAATAAAAATCAAGAAATCAGCTCGGTAAACAGGAAGCCCGACGGATTCCTCTCAATTCCATTACGGGGCCTTCCAGGCTCTCTGATGCACGGCAAATATGCCGTGCCACTGCGTGCTCCTTCTTTTCGTCTCCTCTCTTTGCGATCCCTCCTCTCTCTGCACCTCCTGTCTCCAACGGAGAAACGCGCCTTTTAATGCGCAAGACCCTCGAAAGTCTCGTTACCATGTGAGGCTCTCCGCGCCTCAGTGACAAAGAGAGGTCTTTTTAACAGTGTGTGCCTTTATGAGAGCGCACGAGCACGGAATATCACGAGAAGAGAGGCTGCTGCTCCCTTTCTCCCCCTCTCACTCTCTCTCTCTCTCTCTCCCTCTCTCTCTCTCTCTCTCTCTCTTCCTCTTCTCGTCATCGCGCGTGTTTCGACGTGCTCGAAAAGAGCAGGCTGGATAAAGTACAGTCGGGAAACTAGTTTCTTTCTGTCGTTCTGAGGCGGCGTACCTGCGACACGCCACGCATCCAACTGATGCGGAATAATAAACTTTGTCGCGGGCCTCGCGCCACGCTCGGCGACGTGCTGGCATCTCGCCTGCTCGCGGGAACATCTCCCTTTAATTACTGCTGATCGCGTGATGTTTTTCCGCGGGCTCGATGGAAACGATGCTGCCTTTGTCACGCACCGTGCGACGAAAATGCATTTGATTATTTGGTTATATTGCATTTCATATAATGGTTAGGGTAATAGATACAGTGGTCGATAAGAAATTAATTCCGCTAGGAAAAAACAAGTTGCTTATCGTTCTAAACCAGTGCCGCTCAGTAAGTTGCCCGTAAGGCAATGGTCAAATTAGCTCGAGCACAGAACGATATTCAAACGAATGTAGCAGTGAATTATGCTTGGAGGATAGAGCCTACACTCCCACCACAACCGTTATTCCTTGCTCCATTTTAATGATTGTCGACGTTATTTGCCCTCAGGGCACGCGTCTATCTGAGAGATTTTACGATAGTTACTCTCGAGAGTACTCTCGCATTGTGTCCACCACTCTCAATACAGCGTACACTCATAAATTCGTCTCTCGAAAGCAACTCGCGATAGTTTCACTCTCAAATGGACACGCACATTCAACTTTTCCCGCAACACTGCCCGAGAGCAACGGCGGGCGCCCGAAACTGGTCTGCGTGAGCAGCCCTGTTCTAACATTCGACGAAACAATCTCTCACGCGAACTTCGGTCCAGTACAATTCCCCACAAGTGAAAGAAACTTCACGATCCAGATGCACGTAAACATCAGAGCTCGGAAGCTGCCCACTTAAGCCTCTAAATTTTCCAAATGGAACAACCGACGCCTCGGCGGGAACCTAATTCGAGTAATTTAATCAACCGCGACTCGTATTCTCCGAGCGAGAGCGTCGATACGGGCGAAATCTCGTTAGACCGCTAATAACGGTATCCCATAACTCGCGCGTATCTCGCCAGCGTGATGCGAGGCCGCTTTATTAGCTCGCCCTGGGGGCGGAACCGAGAGGAGAACTTTTACTCGCGAGCACGAGATGGTACGAGGGCGCGAGAACCAAGTGAAATCTCGCAGCGGACAGGAGGAAGATTGATGCGGTGGGACCGGGGAAAAACAACTCGCGTGGGATGCGTTTGTTCGCGAGCAAATGGCGAGCCAAAGGGGGGTATATGCATTGTACAGGGTTGTGTATCCTCGGGTATTTCGTGTTAGTGAGCAGAGAAATGACGGTCGTTGGTAATGTTCATCTTGAAATTGGCGGAATTTCAAGAAGAAAGGAGGTGATTAGGTTACGTTGCTGTAATGGAAGATGTTTGCACGAGCTTCCTGTTGCGTGGGGAATATGATAGGGTTTACTAGATTCGATAACGTTTTCAAGTGAACCAAGTACCTGGGTGCCTAGACTTATTAAGGTTTTAATGAATTTTAAAGGAACTTTTATGAGATTTTTAATAGATATTAGGGAATACTTAGTTGGTGCTAGATACTTGGAATTTGAGATGTTGAACTTTAACGTATGAATCGTTTCTATATTAAATTAGTAGAAAATAAATTATTCGCAAACTCATACCTACATTATTAAAGTCAAATATAAATTCGTCGCTTTTTAAAAAGATTTCGGTTACAATTCGCTAGGAACATTTGCTAAAAGTCGTGTTTCCCAAATTAATTTGAAAGAAAGAAATATTTAAAAATAAGCACCGCAAGATATGAATAAAAAAGGAAATATTCAAAAAATTAAACCGGTTAAATAAACGAATAAGAAAAATATCACGCGCAGCTTGGAAACGTTTTTTAGCTTCTAAAACAGAAGCCATTTTTTCAGTCGGAGTAGAATGCACTTTCGGAGTTTAACTGTTACAAAATCAGCCTGTACATCGCGCTGCTGTCGTAGGGAAAAGCTTTTCACGCGGAAGCCCGTGCTCTTTGACGATTGAACGGGGTGGTGCTTTTTGTCGTGGCAAGGTTATATCCCCGTGGAAGAGGAGAGAGGTTGCATGGGAAAGCATAGGTGGAAGACAGGAGCGTGTAAAATTGACGTATGGGAGGCGATGATCGATAGAGGTCTTCAGAATAAACTGCACGAACCTCTGCATGTACAGAGGAAACGAGCATGTGTTGGAGAAATATGCGCTTCTAGTGGAAGATTCGCTCGTAATCTTTTTCGAATTTTAATAAAATTTTTCTTCTTTTCATGTCATTTTAATTACACTACATACAAGAGATATTATTTAAAAAATAGATTACACAGTAAGAAATTTATAAAATATTTTTCGAAAATTTTCCTGCGTTCTACGAGTTCAATGTGAAATTTAAATGCAATATTATCTTAGTTTTACGAATTTCCTTATACAAAGTTAAAAGCTCCTATCTTCCTGCCTGTATCAAAGTTGAAGTTTAAAAGACTCGCGAGGTGTTACGATTATCACTTCAAATCCTTAAGAACAGCTTGAAACGCAGTTGAAACTTAGCTGGTTCAATTAGCCTGAAATATTAAATTACGATACAACTACTATATTTACAACTCTCTTCAACTAGCCGTTCCCTGACCAACGCAATTCGCCAACAAGTCAAACACACCGACCAAACAAGCAAACCATTGAAATAATCAATTGAACTTTAAGAGAAACTCGGTAAATCAACGACAGCAACGACAAAGTTCGCTACAAAGAGAGCTTAACAAGCAATCAACATTTTATCGAACCAATAAAACCCACTTTAAAGAGGATCGAGAAACGGTAATAGCTTCTTCACATGTGCAGGTGTAATTTTCTTTTTCTAAATCGAATGTCCAATTTGTTTGTGAATTCTGTGATGCGTTTATCCTTAAACTCACAGTTTCCAAAATATTCCACTTTGAGATTTACCATGTTTTCTTTGTAACCATGTAATTTTCACAAATAATATTTTCCCTTATCACTTGGAAAAATACATTTGAGGTGGACAGTGTTGATGAGACGTCCACTATATTTCCAGAAACGCTGTTTCCATGAATATTCTGAACGCAGTGGAGACAGAGCGAAAATGCACTTTAAAGCGTATTAAATGGAAGCGTGTTCGTCGATTCTTGTTAAGAAAAAATTGAAAAAAAAAAACGGTGAAAGAGGAGACGATCACCAGGGGATACATGTAGGTTTTTCCTGCGAATTCATAACGCATGCGTCCCCCTTTTGCAATAATATCGCGAACCTATTGGGAGCACGCGGTCCGCTCGCTCGCTCGGAGCCGATGGAAAAATGATTGTTTTACGAGAGACAGAGAGCTGGGGCTCGCGTGCACCCAGAAGTTTCCATAAAATCTGCCCCCCTAGCTATGAGAAAAACATTTTCTCGCGACCGTCCGCGATGAAACGACGCCGCCAGACGTTCCCGGACCGCGAGAACACGAATATGCGTCTTTAATGACGCAATACCGTGAGATACATCGGGCACACGATAAATCTGCTTGGTTCTGTTCACTGT